TAAACCCAAAGCCCCACATGTCTGGCCCAGGTACTGCGACTCTCCTGCCAGTCGCGTGCCCACTCCAGGCTTGGACGGCCTCTGGTGCAGGCGTTAGGTGTGTCTATTGTTTACAACTCCAGATATAATGTTTAGGGTTAAGAGTTTAGGGTCTGGGGCTTAGCCGATATTTTCCCATCTCAATTTGATGCATCAGTTTTTTTGAGGGGGGCGGCGGAGGGTTTGAGCTTTCTTCTAGGCTTGAGCTTGTGGGAGTTTCGGCTTCTTGGGTAAGGTTTAAGGTTGAGCGTGCTTGGAGCTTTGGGTTTAAGCTTCGAGCTCAAGGTATTGAACAGATGTCACCCCAAACCCTAAACCCTAAACCCTAAACCCTAAACCCTAAACCTGGCTGGGCAAAAACATGGAAACTTGTGGGTCGTAGGTCCAAGTTTCGAGGTGTCGGGACTCTAAACCAGCTTGTAGGGTCGTGGTACCTTTGATGATATAACCTGCATTGCCTCAAGGACACTAAACTATGGGAACTATGGTATATTCCTTATAATGGGTGAGGCAGGATTTATATCATCACCCGTATCAGATTACGGTGAGGTCGAATTGGGACCTGAGTGCAAGCCTAGGTTCCGGGAGGCGGGATTAGGGTTTAAGGGTTTAGGGGTTAGGGGTTAGGGTTTAGCGGTTTAGGAGTTAGGGTTTAGGGATGGGAGTTTAGTTTGGGGGATGGGGTGTGGAAGACTTCCCTGGTCCTAGGTCAACACCCTAAACCCTAAACCAACCTTTGGCTTGTCAGCTTTGGTTCCAAGATCCTAAGCTGAGTTCAAGGCCCTCAATTAAAATTCTGAAGTGCAAGCGGCAAGACCAGAGCAAAGCTCAAAGCCCAAAATACAGCCTTGAGCCGGTTTAGGGTTTAGGGCTTACGTAGGGCTTTTAGGGTTCAGGGCTTTAAGCCCTCAACCCCACAGATGAATGTTTGAACAAAATTCCATCTACCTCGTGAACTAACACGACCCAGCCCTGAACCCCGAAGAGCCAAAACCCGTCAATGACAACACCTGAAGAATTCTCAGCCCCAAGACCCGCTCAAGCCCTAAAACATCAAATGCAAACCTCCAAGTCCCTGAAGCCAAACTTCTAAACCCGACAGAAGTTTAACACACCACTTCGACCAATCCCAACGCCAAACCCAAAATCGCAAAGCCCCTGAAAGCAAAACCCACACTCCTAAAACCAAAACCCCAAGCCGTCAAAACCCATGAAACCAAACTCTACGCCCCAATCTCCGAAGCCAAAAAAAGAATTGAGCACTTCCAGGCGCTCGAAACTCAATTGCTTAGGGTCTTTTGGGGTCGTAGGGCCCCATGATTTGTCTGGGGTAGAAAGGCGTAACTGCAGGGCTCGGGGCTCCGGGTTGCGGGCTTTGTGTTCCGTTCTTCTTTGCAGAAGCTCTACTGTAGGGGCCTCAATACTTAGAATAAGGTTTTGGGGTGTCTTCTACTGTAATTCTGATAAGGAGCCCCCGAAACAATATAGGTAACTATTCAGGCCCCTATATTATCTGGTAATCACACATCCCAGCTCACTCAGCAAGCCTTGCACCAGCGCCCGCACATGGCTCCTTAGGGGAGCTGGCCCTCAACCCGAATTTGCCCAAAAACCGCGATGTCCTACAGCCGTACACCTTATCGAGTCTCCTGGCCCCACTTAAATTACTTGCGCCAACTGATACAGAGGCTTTAAACAAGTGGGCTAATTTATTGAGTAGGGACTACAAGGGCGTGTTGTTTCTGACTATTCCGATCCCTGCCGGATGCAAGCCAGTTGTCAGCCCTTTCGAGACTGGCCTTTCAGAAACTCCTTCCGCAGCCTCCGCGCGACTAGTTACGCAACTCAGTGGGAGTTCGATCAGTAGATGCAAGCTTCACCGCTTCACCTCTGTGCCACAAATCTTGAACCCCCAAAACCCAACATGCATCCTACATCCCATGCCCGGAGACCCTTCTACCCTACAGCGCTCAGGTGCAGGAAATTGTGCCTCGCAGAGCGCTTTGAACTGAAGCCTCATGCCTCTTGTTTTACGGTGAAAAACCCTGAACCCTAAACCGAGTTTTACAACTCGTTGTTTGGGACTTATGGAGACTCACGGGTTACGGCTTGGGGATTTCGGGATGTATGTGCATATATGAATAGACGGATTCGCTGTGGGTTCTAGGCCTTAAAAACCTACACCTCTACCTCTCGTCCTTTGACTATGTAGAAATATGTGGTGTGCTTGTATGTATGTGTCCGTATGTATATATGTTTGTATAAAGACATGTATCAAATGCCGCACACATGCCTACATGCGAGAATAAAACCAGCCTCAACATCTCTGTAAGCCACTGCCCGGCCGTGAGTCCAATCCGAGGCGGCGCCAGCATCAAGGAGCTGAAAAAGTTCACGCACGACCTGCAGAAACCCCATTTTGGGATTGGGGGTTTGTCAAAGTCTCGGATTTGGGGTTCAGGGCAAGGGATTAGTCGCGGAGTTGATGGCTCAGGCTTTTTGTTTGTTTAAGGGCCATTTTCCTCCATGCTAGTAGAGTGGGGAAAAGGGTCCTCACAGAAAAAGACCTGAGCAATCAACTCCAAGTAAACGGCCACAAGAAGCAAGCCTTTCCAAAGGTGTTTCAGCGTCAAGGGTTTCGGGAGTAGGGTTCGGTGCTCACTAACTCAGGATTGGGTCTATGCCTATGCCGAACAGCGATCTTGTGTTTATGGTGTCACGAGGTTCGTAACTAGACAAACGGGGAAAGCTGCCTGCATAGCTGCTTAAGGTTGTGCTAGAAGTCCCCGCCTGCGCATCGCTGCCCCCGAAGGCAACCAAGTGGGCGCGGAAAGCTCGATACATGGCTCTCTCTTGAAATCCTAGCCCAGATGCTACAGTAAATCTTGACATTGAGGGGAACCCTCAAATCGATGGGAAACGGAGTGGCCTGGAAGGCCAGCTTCTATGATCACTTGAGACAGCCCAAGTCGTCTAAATCCTAAAGTCCACACCAATAGAATTCAATCACGATGCATAGTTGGGCCTTGTGAACCGGGTGATCTCACGGCTCGCAAGCAGCCCGTTGACTACATGTGGCATGTCTACATCTCACTTGTGCGGGCTGCCCAGTGTTTGAGGAGCCATGTTAGGCAGCACCGTGACAAGTTGAGGCGAGAACCCCAGCCGTAAAAGCACGATGGACGAGCAGTTCGTCCTCTCACGTCCTCTAACATCAAAACTTGCATAGCAGAGAAGCGTCTTCAGGATCTGACAGGGCACGGGCTATGGGTCATGCTTGTTCCAATCGCCTCGGTCTGGAGGAGGAGTGACTAAGTCAAAAAAATGCTCATTGCGCTCCTCATGAGGATGGCGCTTTCCCTGGCAAGTTCGGAGATTCGACGAATACGCCGTCTCTAACAACACCCCGCGTGACCCACAAGCTCCGAATATTCTGCCTGAAACTCTACTGACGGGCTCTGCACTCCACAATCTGTCCCCTAAGTTGCAGGACAAAGTCGAGACACTAAACTCAAAAGTCTGAATCTCAACTCATGACCCTCGACTCTACCCATAGGCCCAATAGTAGTTTCTTTGTGTGGGTTATATTTAGGATCCTATTAGGGAATCCCAAAAAAGTACTACTATGGGGCCTATGAGTACAGCCTCCGCATTCAGTCCAAGCCCCCGAACCTCACCTCGACCCCTTCCGAACCCGGTTCTGGCGAGCCTGTAGGGATTGGGCGGCCAGTCCTTCACATGCTCTGCTTGGGTGGGGGAATCTGAAAAGGCGCGCCCTAAAGGGTCTTCAACATAGGGGGATGTGCTTGAACTGGGATCCAAGATGACCTTCAGAAGTGGTGGTGCCAACTGCTGCTCGGTACCATCACACGGTTGAAAGTATAGGTTAAAGGCTTTCAGCAAAGTTGATGGCTTTCTGATGATTTCTTGAACGGGACGGGACATGGTGCTGAATCACTCGGTCGTTCCATGAGAACCCCTCTACCGCTGTAGTTTGAGAAGAGAGGGCGAGCGTCGCCAGCCGAACACGGTGATCACCCAGGTTCATGCCAGTATGTTGCTGCTACTCATGCGAATGACAGCTGCTACTGTGTTTCACTGACAATTTATAAGCCTGCGAAATTCCAAAACTAAGGTCCAATGTGTTGCTTATGAGATGCACTTCCGACTCCATCCACCCAGGCCGCTTAAGTCGAACCGATGTGTATCCCCCAAAGTCTCTACTGAGAAAGGTCTGCTCCGTTTGCAAGATACACGAGCTCTCCTAATGTGCCGATGGAAAAATGGTCGAAAGGAGCCCGCTCTGGGAGTAGCTGCAACTCAGGACTACAGTGCTATCTTTCGTTATACGGCGGGAGGGAGAAGTTTTACCATGGTTTTGAACCTCATGGAAATTCCACGCAAACCCTGAAAGACTAAAACCAGAGACCTCCTGTCCCTCGTTCATCCTAAACTCCTACACCCTAAACTACCCATAGGAATAATTCCTTTTTGGGGTTCATATTTAGAATCCCTATTAGGCAAGCCCAAAAAGGAACTAGTATGGGGCCTATGGGTAACCTGTATGGCTTCGGAAGACCTGGCTCCAAAACCCGCAAGCCTCTCTCACAATAGGAGCTTCAGAAGCTAGGGTACCCGATATTTTGGGGCTCCGCTTAAGGGTCCTATCGTCTAGGGTTTAGGGTTTAGGGTTCTATATGGGGGCGCATTTTGTCCTTTCAGCCGGCATACGTGCTACTTATAACTTGCGAATGAAGTAGTTTGCATGTACCTGGTATTTCTACTAAAGTGTTGAAGTCGGTCAAAGTCAGGCCCACATACTGGACCCCTTCGCCCTAGACCCGGAACCCTAAACCCCGTCAAGACCAAAGGACCCTAATAAGTAGGGGCCCTATACCCTGATGCTATGAATTCCGGTCTGGTTTATGAACCGTAAACCGCCGTAAACCCTTGCAAGTTCCTATACCCTTATGCTATGAACCCCTGTTGGTTTATGAACCTTAAACCCTTTCAGGGTCCTTTTTCGTCCTTACCCTAAACCCTAAACCCTGAGCCCTAAGCCCTAAGCCCTAAACCCTAAGCCCTAAACCCTAAGCCCTAAACCCTAAGCCCTAAACCCTAAACCCGAAGCCCTGAGCCCTGAGCCCTAAGCCCGAAGCCCTCAAGGAGAGGATCCTCAACCCCCCCCCCCCCGTCCTCCTCGTCGAGGGCGGCGATGGGTGCGGAGAGGCCGAGACCCTGCATCCCCAGGGGCGCCTGCGTCAGGGTTTAGGGTTTAGGGTTTAGGGATGTTTAGGGTTTAGGGTTTAGGGTTTATTAGGGTTTAAGGTTTAGGGCTTAGAGCTTAGGGTTTAGGGTTTAGGGTTGTCAGAAATCGGCTCTACCCATAGGCTCCATAGTAGTTCCTTTTTTGGGGCTTATCTTTTACCAGTAGGATCCTGTCAGGGAGTCCAAAAAGGAACTACTATGGTGCCTATGGGTACTTGGAGGATCATGGGACTTAGTAAGTCGAGCTATAAGTGCCCTCACTGGGGTTCTACCTTATTGATAACCATGGTTTCTAAGTCCCAGGGTTTAGGGTTTAGGGTTTAGGGTCATCCTCCAAGTAATGGACCCCCACGAAGAACAGAAAGGCTTTCAACCCCAAAACCCAAATGCTAAGCCTGCCCCAAACAGTCCATGTAGAAGAAAACCTACATATAGAGCTCAGACACCCACGATAAACATATGCCAGCGCAAGTAAGCCCCAAAGAACAGACGTAACTATAACACATAGCCAGCAGTGTCAGGCTTTCGCACCCATGCAAGAACTAGTCCCAAGAGCAATGCTGAGGCTCCCAAGGCCAGTCCAAAATGCGCACCGGACGGCGGCGGGAGCACGATTAGGACCCTAGAACAGGAACACAAGTCCCGATGATGGTTTAGTGGTGCAAACACGAATACCCAACTTGACGGATCTCCCCCCACCCTCTAGTCCCGTGCGCATGTTGGGGGTCTTCCGGCGCTCATGCTAAACCCGCGTCCCTCCTACCAGACCCTATAAGCCCTTTACCCGGGCCAGTGGCTCCTTGGTGGCTCGGCGTAGACAGTGATCCTCTTTACTCTCACAAGGTAAGAACCCCAAGTATGGTGCACCCTAAACCCTGAACCGACTATAAAGCACAAACCCTAACACAAACTCGAAACCCTACAATGTAAACCCCATTATAAACCCCAAAAGACCTATAATACTGCACATCCCTGTCACCCACACTCTCGGGAAAAATCGAGCCTTCGCCTCGGGATCCTCCCCCCTCGCGCTCGCAGCGCCGCGGCTCTCAAGGAAGCCGAGACCGGCTCCTCGAGGGAATATATATATATATATATATATAAATATGTATATATATATATATATATATAGTTAGGGTTTAGGGTTTAGGGTTTGGGGTTTTAGGCCCCAATAGTAGTTCTTTCGTGTGGCTTAGATCTAGGATCCTATCAGGGAATCTCCAAAAAGGAACTACTATGGGGCGATGGGAAAGCCAGCGAGCTTGCAAATAGCACCCTCCTCGAGTAGACAGTGTAGACCACTCTTTGGGCTCAGGGGCTTCATGTAGTACGGGGTGTAAGGTTAACATAATGCTGAACCACCATTGAGATCGCGGCTTGGGTATCCGTTCGGCGCTTGTTCGGACCAGCGATGCCGTGGAACCTGCTACAGCACACAGGTTTCTTCTTGGCAGTCGACTCCAGGAAAACGCCATGCCGCGAGGTATGCACGTTGTGTTCTATTGTAGTCCATTCCGTAATGGTATTATACAATATGCTATGCTACACTGTAACATCTTAGCAGATTTGAAACTGTGTTTTATAATGCTATACCATCTTGTCCTATACCAAACTATTTGCGGTATAGGAGATTACGACATATTACATGTTGAGCTATATTGTAATGTGTTGTGTTAGATTAGACTGTATTCTATTGTATTATATTATGTGGCAGTGGTATTGTGTAGTTATTATATTATCTCTTCTTATCGTATCTTAGCTTATCTTATATACTGCATCATAAATGGCTCGATTGTATGGAAGTACCGTCTATGATGTGCTATGTCATGTTCTACTACAGCCTGTCATATCACATCAGATCATGTCATATCATATCGTCTCATATCATATCATCTCATACCACCCATGCTATATCATATCACATGAGTTAATATCATATCATACAATGCAATATCATGTTTTGCAATGTTCTATTATGAGAGTATAAGATCACATCTTATACTATCTTATGTTATACTTTACTATATTAGGACATATCTCATTGTGCCATACTACACTGTATTGCATTATCTGGTACTATACCACTTTATCATATTATGTCATATTTATGAAAAGTCATAATGCATTACAATATTGCGCTACAGTACAATGGCTAGTACAACTTCTCATACGCCATGACACGGTATGGTATGTTGTCTGTTATTCTGTATCAAGCTGTACTATCCTACGCAAATCAGTAATTACCAAATACCCTAACATACTTGTTGCATTAAACTTTATGTTGGGTTGTTACATTGTTTGTATCATAGTTCGTCGGGTTATCTAAAATCGAAGGGCCACAACCCGAAACAGCAGCTTAAACTCCAAATCCAGCGCAGCGACAGACAAGGAAATCTGCTCGAAAGATTATAATCTGCGAGAGTCTGAGGATTAGGGTTGAGGAGTTGAGGCCCGGCGGCATCTAAGACCTCAGCCCAAGTCTCACTTGTTAAACCTTCAGGCATCTTCAATTCCCACGCAGTATCGACCCGACCTTAAGAACCCAAAACCCACTTTTTTGTAGGTTCTTATTGTAA